GGACGTCTAATTTCTATTTTTCCGGGCCCCCTTATTGTTATGGGGGAGGGGTATATACGGTATAGGGCTTAAAGTGAGTGCAACAAAATAAGACTCCCAAGCCCCAAAAAACGGACCCTCAATGGTTGAAAACCCCCACCTGCGAGAGGGCTGCGTTGTCATCTCCAAAAGGTGAAAGCTCCTCAGGTCGCAGGCGAAGATCCCCAAATGCTCGGAAGCGTTTAGACATGGGGTGAGTACCTCCCCATCTGTGCACTTCTCCATGAAACTGACGTCCAAGCGCGCGGCTGTATTCAGGACGCTGAAACATCGCAGACAGCATGCCCAACAACTGATAGATGGGCCACTGAGATCCAGAAACCATGAAGTACGGGATATCCGCCATAAGCTTGTCGACTGACTTTGCCCAAATATGAACTGTGCCCGTCAATCTCATGGCTGCAGCGATCATTTGAACTATGCAAAGGAAAAGAAAGCCTAGGGGACACTCATCCTGTGCAGCATCGGCAAAACGTTGGGGTTCTGCTCCCAATGCGTCCAGCACTGTCTTTAGCGCCAAGGTATGCTCCGGAGATCCCTGTCCGGGCTCCAGTCCAAGAATTCCCTGCTGGCCCCACTGGATAGCGTTGGCCAACAATTGGCCCCAGTCGATGCCGGAAACGGACTTAACGTCTGTGCACAGTACAACGGCGGATGCCTCAGAGGCTGGCGTGTGAAGCGTGCTGAAATGATGCAACGCCTCGTAGACAGGCCAGCGGGACCCAGCCACCACCAGAGCAGGGAACGCCCGCAGCATGGCCGACAACTCCTCGCTGTGCCGTAGCTGAATTTCTTTGTCTGCGCCCTTCACCATCAGCGCATATGCATACACGGCGGAGAGGTACAGTGCCCCCAGCGGGCATGCTTTGAAAGCTTCCTCACTATTTGCCTGGAAGACGACCAAGATCTCACCAGGCAGAAAAAAGTCAGGCTCATCAGGTCCTGCAGCTTCTTGTAATCCGCAGGCTCACAATAGTAGCAATTGTAATTATAATAATGTTGATACTAATAATTATCATAGTGATAGAAATAGTAATAATAA